GTTAACTGAGACCTTTAAGTCATGTCTTATTTTAATTTATATTCATATTTGTATGAAAAATAATATTATGGAGTGAAATGAAATGAAGATGATTAATTTGAGGCATTAATCAACTGGGATGAAATTAAATGAAATGAAATGGGATGAAATATAATCTCAGTAAAATGGTGGTCATTTACTAAGATTTTTTCAGTGGACTTTATGGAGGATCCCGAGAAGTTACGTCCAGCGGCTTTGTTTCATTTTCCCACATTTGTGCACTTTCACAGATATTAAACAGTTAATAAACCACCATTATTACACATTTAAACCCGAAGAAACACTAAATAGACAAAATAAAACAAGTGACATAACTTCACTCCTCGCGTTCCCGCCAAAAAGTCAAACGATTTATTATTGATTACACAGTTGCATGTCTGGTAATTGTGAGCTGCAGTTTCGACGATACGTTTCTGAGTGTGTGAGTACTAACTTAATGCTGACTATCTCGGTAAGCAACTTATCCAAAGTGAAGCGAGAAATCAAGATGCTCACTTTTGGCAGTATGTAAGTTGTGTGTCGACACACGAAACCCCAAAAGTTGCTTACTCGTGCAAAGTATCTCATCGTGTGGATATTTATGTGGGGTTTTATATTCAGGGTGGACCAGGGAAACGGTTGATCACTTCACACAAACTTGATTCTTTATTTCGTCTTAATCGTCTTAATCTATGTAACTAAAATATAAATGTCTTGCTTCTTCAGAGTTACACCGTGTCTGTCTGTCTGCCGTCGCGTACGGCAACTACCCTCTTCTCGCTTAAAAAATAAAACTAAGTGTTCCTTCCGCATTCATTTGCCGTCTTTCTTACTCCCTAACACAACATTTCCTATCGCTCTCACTCAGTCATGCTCCATATCTGTCATCCCTCCATATCGCTCCGTTCCGTTCCTTCATTTTTGGTAAATATTAGCTTCAAATAGATTATGCGGAATTTTTTGGACACAAAAATGTCCAACGATGCCACTTCTAAACAGAGTTATCAAAAAATAATTCTTATTTTAAGTGACTTTACTGGAAAACAGAATTAGTTTTTCCGATTCTAGATATAGCAGCTGACGTCATTCTGTCCTTGAAGTCTGGATATTGACTGAGGTTTGTGATCTATATAAAATTCAGACAATAAAACCGGCCGACCTATGTAAATATTATTCCATGCTTATGTTAACTGCAAACTATTTTGTATATTAAAGGACTTTTGTAACGGACGTTCGTATTTCCCAGTAGGTGTATTTAAAAAAAACTTAAGTACCTAATGTGTATTCTAATCACGATGAAATAATATAATTTTATCATAGAATCAAATCATCGAAGTTTTGAAGTTTGCACATTGACCGCGCCGACGATTGCGGTGTCGTCGGAACTCGGCTAACTTCGTGCTATTTTTTTTTATTGCTTAGATGGGTGGACTAGCTCACAGCCCACTTGGTGTTAAGTGGTTCTTGGAGCTCATAGACATCTACGACGTAAATGCGCCACCCACCTTGAGATATAAGTTCTAAGGTCTCGGTATAGTTATAACGGCTGCCCCGCCCTTCAAACCGAAACGCATTATCGCTTCACGGCAGAAATAGGCTACGACAGAGCCTAGCCGATGGAGGCGCATAGACACCTTAACACACTTAACAACCAGCTTTCTTGATTAGCGGTGCCTCCTTCCTAAGAACTGTCACTCATTTTCGTTTGCTAACGTCAAGAGAAGATTTCTAAATTGTTCTAAGACAACAAAAGTGATTGGTGTACTCAATATTTCACTTAGCTCGATCACTCTATTCGCCCCTGCGATGTCTGATGATGATGTTAATAATTGTGGCTTCTCCGACAAATACATAATAGTGGTTATACCGCATCTCAAGATGCAGCGCCGTTTTTTCAATGTAATGAGCTCTGGTAATTCGCTCATATTTACGACTAATTAGCACGAGAATATCAGAAGGCGAATGCATCTTTGCCCAATAACCCTGCCATTTAGTGCGTATTAGTTCCGATTTTGATTCCGGATTGACGATGACAATCACACACTTGACAGCTTCATTAGAACTGTTTAGAAATCGATAAACAAATCCCATTCGATTTTAAATCGTACCTTCCTTATGATTAGGAATACGGAATCGTTCAAGGGAAAAGGGTCGTTGAGTACGAAAACTTCGTTTAATTCAAATACAACACCAAATCACATTATATTTCTATAATATTATTACATAATATATTCTTCTTTATATATTTTTTAAATTGTTAATATTTTATATCTTATATTATACTATTAAGTTTTGATAAACTGTTATGCACACAAACTAGACGCACTTATATACTTAGACGGTATTTCAAGATAATATATGTATGTATTAGATAAAAACATTCATAAACACTACGAGTGTTAAATTATTTATAAGAAAATAGATAAAGTACGCCAAAAACAATTTGTTTCCGCTTTAGCTGGGCCCCATGGGAAGATTTATTTGCGTATTTATCAAATATATATTCTTTTAAAACCTTAAATATTAAAGATACATTTCTAATATACGTTTTTTTATTAATATTCTAGTGTTTTTGTTGGCAAACATTAAAATAAATATTAAAATTAATGAAAGTATCAAATGTGCCTCGTCTAGCTGGGTTAAACAAAGTACATTTGATTAATCAAAAATATGATGTATTAAAAAACGGTACATTAATAACAATTACAAATTTCGAAAACATTTAAAACAAAAATAGCTTATTAGATCTTGTTTAAATCATTTTCAAGTAATTAAGTACGTACGTACGTTTTGGTCGGATTTATTTTATGTGATATGTTGAACGTGTGGTCGTTTATTTAAATAAAAGTTCTCTACGAAAATGTAAAGAAAATGTTTACTCAATTTTTATTTCTAAATGAAAATTGAGTAAACATTTTTTTTATTACATCTTTTTTCTTGAGCGATGTTATGATATTTACTAACATTAACTCACTTTTCTTAGACCACTATTTTTTAATTACCAGAAAAGTAAAAATCGAATATGTATTAATGATGAAATAACATAATAATATGATTAAATATGGTTTGTTATTATTTAAGTATGTGTATATATATAGACATTACAAAAGAAACACTAACGTAAAATTACCTCACAAAACCGATTTTTTTGGTAATTTTCCTTCATTCATTGTAACAAGCCTCATTGTAACACTGAAAGAATTTCATTTAATCACTTTCAGTACTAAATGTACTAAGGTATGTAATTAGAGACGCGTGCCGCTCTGGAATGCTCTTTCATATTATGTGGAAGTTAAATTGATTTTTGTTCGCGCGATGATGAGGTCATCATATCCACCATAAAATAGCCGGAGTCCGGGCTCAGTGGTGTAAATTGGGAGAGGTCCATGTCCAGCAATGGTCGGCTGTGGGCTGTTGCTGCTAATGATAATGATGATGATGAGGATACGATTTATCTTTTGTAAAGAAAAAAGGTTTCATTGTAGATTTTAGCCGAAGTCATAACAAGCAGTTTGGACTAGAAAAGAAAACTAGTAATAGCATTATTAGAATATGTTAGTCAGTATTAGTTGAATAAGAATAAGACTTATTAGGTACAGCGGCACCATTCTACATACTTTATGGGTTATTAACGCTCCTTCCTCTGTTAGAAAATTGAGTGACTTTAAAACGAGTGCTTTTAAAATCAATAGGTCATATTTCCTGCAATAAAAAAATGTATACACAGACATACAAGATTTTCTAGGACGTATAATAATTATTTAAGAAACATAACGAGGACATTTGCGTACTTAAGAAAAGATTTACTACTAATCTAAAATCATCGAATTCCAAGTTGACAGAATAATGAAATTTTTGAAATATAGCTTTCTCTCTCTCTCTCTCTCTCTCTGTCTCTCGTATTAAATAAATATAATTTAAGAGTGAGAACAAAAAAAAAACACTTTGAAAGCAAGTTCTTTCATGAATTAGGTATCAATAATAAATAAAAATAAATTAGAATAAATCATGTTTCGGCGAATCCTCTTTGATTAGATACATCTTTATTTCATTTTTAACAGTATCATTTAAAGTGCCGCATTAACGTCTAAAAGTTGGTGAATATATTACTAACATTCAATTATGGAAGATAAATTCATTAAAACTGCTCCCTTAAAACACATTGAGAATAAATATAGTATAACTTTTATAACAAAATTTTAACGTTACAAATGATTGACGAAATATAAATTAAATACATAATAAAACGCGATACATCTAATTTGCTATATACTATTAACCTAGCGTATTTTTTATTTCATAGCGTTGTTCATTTCCGATTACATTCTTTTTTTTTTTGTAAAAATAAATATTTCTCTTCTAAACGAGTTCCTTCTATACTTATTTTTGTACTATTACAAGTGACTGCAGAATCATAACATGGTTAATTGGAAACAATATATTTACTTAAAATACATGTAATGTTTAATGTAACATCAGAAGACCTACGATGAAAAAATATAGTTTTATCTCACGGCCCGACCCGATAAAAAAACATGGATATCAATGCGCACACCAATGTCCACGTCAACCACACAGATAATTTATACGGGACGCATATTAGCAACAGAATTCCGTACCGGTATAGTTCCAGTGTGCTTAGTGCGAGTTTGTTTAACGTTCTCGATAACGTAAAAGTTAACTCATATTTATATATGGAATGGGGTCGTTTGTCGTTTACGACGAAGGGCTCGACGAGTAAATTAACCCTCAGACACAGCCCACTGAGTTTCTCGCCGGATCTTCTCAGTGGGTCGCGTATCCGATCCGGTGGTAGATTCTGCGAAGCACGGCTCTTGCTAGGGTTCGTGTTAGCAACGTCGTCAGGTTTGAACCCCGTGAGCTAGTTACTACTAGTTAAGGTTACGCTGATATAGCCTCTCAAGGCTCTCAGCTTAGGTAGGAAAAAAAAGCCTACGTTTGCCGTTAGGGGCGCAGTTTTCAACTGCATACAAAATTGAGTTAACTTTTACGCTATCGAGAACGTTAAAAACCTCGCACTAAGCACACAGACAGAAGCTCCTTTACATATTATTATTGCCTATAACTATAAACGAAGAAACGGCCGACTTGACAATACGAAGACACCGTTTGGTTACCGAGGTTGTTATGCGCGTTCGTAAGTCTCCTGAAAGTGAAATGATAGAAGGTATGCGTCCGCGAGATCGGGTGCTGTTACTTGGCGAGGGCGTCCTCGTGTGCTTTCTTGACGACGGCGAGTTTGGAGTGCGGGTCCTGAGGCTGGAGTTGGGCGTAGGGCGGCGCGCGCGTGCCGTGCAGCACTAGCGACCAGCCGCGCACCCAGCCCGACCACTCGCCCCCCGACGAGCCCCCACCGTTGTACCGAGCCTGACGCAACATTCACTCATAAGGTACGCGTCCATTGACCCGCGCCGCGCCGCCAAAATAAAATCCATTGCGTGCGGTGCGTCCGACGCGGACCAACAGACACATACTTTTAGGTTAGCCGCACACACAAAATAATAATGACAATAAAGTACGTATTGTCAATAATATTTAGATTACAATGCGACCGGACGTTCGTATGTTCGTGTTAGTTGTTCAAAATGGAAGAGGAAAACAGTATCCATTGCAATATTATTTTGTGTGTGAAAGTGTTCTGACCAATAATCATTTAGTTTTATTTTTAAGATGTTTTATTAAACGACCAGTCGTCCCGCTTAAGAATTGCTACGGGAATTGGATCGGAAAGATGAGGAGATGAGTTCTAGTGCAGTCTGATGATGCTAAGTAGTCCATAGGCACCGGAAAATGCCGATGGTAAATGCCGTCACCCAACTCTGGTGGCACATCTGGTCTGGTAAGATAACGGTTATGCATTGTTCAGCACTGGAGAGGAACACGACGCTCATTAACCACCTCATAAAAAGAAAAATGTTTATAAAAAAGTGTCACCTCTAAGATCCATGTGCCCTGTGGGTATTCTCCCCATGTATGTGTGGTCATGAAAGGCCACTTTGTGAAGCCGTCCCGGGAGTCGCCATCGTTGGCCCGTCTGCTTAAAATCATGGATCTGCAGCAGAAAATTACAATTTATGAACAATGTTGTTTCTATCGCTGAGATGGGTGGACAAGGTTATCGGAGCCCATAGACATCAACAACGGAAATCCCGCCACCGACCTTGAGACATGTGTGGCTTCCGCATTCTTCAAAACGAAACGCATTATTGTTTAAAGGCAGAAATAGGAGGGGTGGTAGCCCAAACGGGTTCACAAGACGCGATACTATCAGTTTTATTACGCCGGTAAGAGTAACGCCATCTATCGCCAAATAGTCGAACGAATATCGAAGAATCTAGAACGCTCGAGAAGTACAACGCCATCTATTGTCAGATAGCAGAAACAATACTAGAGATGTGTGGAATATTCTCGATAATTCTAGAGATGTGGTATCGACTATAAAAGCGTTGTAGGGATGACACGCAGTCAGTCAGTAATCGGAACTACTTGAAGCGAAACAACGAACGGACCACCTGAAGCGAAGCGGAAGAAGCGAATTAAGAATTTGAAAGTGTTTGTGAAGTCTTTTAAGTGTTGAATACAGTTTTTAGTTGTGCTTTGGTGGAATTTTATTTATCCCGAACCCCAGCGCGTAACACTATTAAACAAAACTAGATGATGACCGAGCTTTACTCGGTTTTTTTTTGATAACGCCATCTTGTTGTGTCTTTAAAGCGGTTAGTTGCCCTCAATTAAGAAAATTAGTATTATTATTCGCCAATAGATGTCGGGAAGAGTTGATTATTGAAAACACGAATAAAATAACATTTTCTGAAAATAAATCGTAGCTAGATCGATTTATCGCCCCCGAAATCCCCTGTATAATAAATTTTATGAAAATCGTTGGAGCCGTTTCCAATATTCAGATTATATATATACAAGAATTGCTCGTTTAAATGTATAAGATAAGATATCAAAATTAGTTAATTATGCAGAGAGTTCTGAGTTGCCACCTGGTTCCCATCGGACTGGTGAGGAAGAACTCCAGGTCGCCGCGTCGCGTGCCGTTGGCGCTGACGACAGCCTGCACGTGTTCCAGGTAGCGCACCTCGCTGGGGGAGCCCGCGCATGCTGTGGTGTCGATCTTCAAGGTCACGCTGCCATCGGTCGGGATCTCGCTTCAATAAAACGCTTATATTAACTATTGTCATTTGAACGCCGCGCAAGTAATTACATCCTTTTCTAACATGAAGTATTTAAACATTTCAGCTTGAACAATAACAATCGCTTCTATTATTATTATTATTTTTTTGTATTGCCTAGATGGGTGAACGAGCTCATAGCCCACCTGGTGTTAAGTGGTTACTGGAGCCCATATACATCCACAACGTAAATGTGCCACCCACCATATTACCTACATTTACAAGACCGCGTGTCTCAAGATGAATTACGGAATGCACGTTGGCCTTTTTGACCTTGTAGGCAGACGAGCACACGGCCCACCTGATGGTGAGTGGTTACCGACGCTCATGGATGTTAACAATACTACCAAGGGCAGATGACAATATTGGAAAAACTGCAAATACTTATCCCCGCAAAAACACTGCTTTGTATTGTATGAGAAATTTCTAGTATACCCACGTCTGACCAATATAAATTTAATCCAGTTTCAATGCTCTCATTGTTATATAACTACATTTATTCTGAACATCAGCTAATCAATACTTTCTAGTATACCCACGTCTGACCAATATAAATTTAATCCAGTTTCAATGCTCTCATTGTTATATAACTACATTTATTCTGAACATCAGCTAATCAATACTTCTTTTTTAATAAGCGTCGGTGAATTTGCCCAAGCTATAATTATTAAACGCAACAGAAGTTTCGTAATTGATAACAAAGAATGCCTCACGTGTGAGTATTAACAGATCCTGCTTCACAATGATATCTCGGAGGCACGGAGCGCCAATTAGCAGCCAGAGCGGTCATCGCACCGGCGTCCAGTACCCCAAAACCGAACAAGTGATTGAATTCTAAGCCCACTCCATTCATAGTCCAGTGAAAACGTCCCTAAGGAACAGAAGGAAGGATTATCAATGGTGAACATTCTATTTAGAACTGTTTCTTGTTCCTTTCCTTTTTAGGAAGCCACTTAAAATATACGTACAAAAGTTAATAGTACCTTTGCATCGTACAGCGAATTTCTTTTCGAAGTCAATACTGTTAGATGCTGGATGTCGCGCCACGTCAGATTCGGACTGAAAACAGTTTAATATGAAGTAGTTTTTTATGATAAAAAACCAACAGTAAACATAGATTTTGTGTCCTTTTTTATTAATTTTATGCTGAAGCTAGAATTTTTTTGTAAATCTCCGCCGATATTTTAAACAAAAAGTAACCTAAATAAGCATAATAAGCAAGTGTTTTTAAGCTATTGCATAGCTTTTATCGCGGGATTTGAGCGCGGCGACCGAATCAAGAAATTCCGTAACGAAAATAAAACCTAACACCCCGACTCCACCTACCACGTAGCTCGCGCTCAACATATTCACACGTTGCCCTTGTGTAGTGTTTGTGAATAAGTGCGCGGCGTGACGTCGCACTACATGCGGATCATAAAAAGTCTGCCCATCTCTCTTTCGCGCGCTCTGGCTTATGAGTGTGAAGGGGACAGTTAATGTTTTGCTTTTGTTAATGTTTATAAATATAGCGTGGTCTTATTTCATTATTGTTTTAATATTTAATTATTATTGTCTAATTATAATTGCATAAGTTGTAAAAAAATGCTATGCAATAACTTTACCGCGGCAGTCCCCGAGTGCCACGCGTGCTTTTTTTTTGTATTTGTACTTACTACTTGTAACGACTACTTTTACGATTCAATCTTGCATTTATGATTCTCATTATATAATACTATTTCCGAAGTTTCGAACACAGTTTTCGTGGTCACCGAAGACTAAATTGTTGTTTGTCGACCATTTAATATTGTGCAAATTAGATAGACAAGAACAAATCTTTTATGATTAATGGCAAAACTGTACTGAAATCGAAAGGTATATCGTCTTCTCGCATTAAAGCTGTATAATCTCAAAACTTACTAATTTTACGGGAGAGTGTTCTAAAGGCTTCAAACATGTGATATTTTTAATATTAATTACCTTGCAATTTTCATTTTTTTTTTACCTGTTACATTATCTGTCTTTTAAATTAAGATAAAATTATATATTAATTTTGTTAATAGTAGTCAAAACATAGATAAACTAAGAAACAAAAAACTAAAACTAAACTACGCTCTTTTGGCAGTATTTATGAGAAAAATACTGGTGATTCCAAATGATTCCGCATATTAACTCAATTTCGAATATTTTTGGAAATGGTACACTTTTATTGCGAAAAGACGATATATGATGTCATGAAATGCTGACTCACTTGGCATGTAAAGCCAGAGCGAATACCCCAGCAGCTTCTGGCGCCGCAGCAGACGTTCCCGAGTGGGTCGCAGTACATTTTCCGTACAAATCAGTGGTCGCCACTCCAGTACTAGGATCGCGAGCACCGTTGCTGAATGTGCTCGCGAGCGTAGACGAACATGATTCGTCGTAATGCGCGTTTTGACCGTCATTTATTGCACTGTAAAAAGAATAAAGACGTTTATTGAAAATAAATATATATTTTTTTTATTGCTTAGATGGGTGGACGTGCCCACCTGTTGTTAAGTGGTTACTGGAACCCATAGACATCTACGACGTAAATGCGCCCCCCACCTTGAGATATAAGTTCTAAGGTCTCAAGTATGGTTACAACGGCTGCCCCACCCTTCAAACCGAAACGCATCACTGCATCACGGCAGAAATAGGCAGGGTGGTGGTACCTACCCGCGCATAAGCAATAAAAAAAGTCACCACTAGTCCCAGTGACCGGTAATTGCAAAACCCCATGCATTCTTAACAGGCACAGATCACAATACGAGCGTATTCAACTCGAAATGTTTTTCGAAGTTAAACTACCCACCTATTAATTGAAATAGTCCACATAGACGCAGCGTAGCCATCACAATTGCAGTCGTCGTCCTCGCCCCCATCACCACTCGCCCATACGTAGATATTACCGAGGCCATTACGACCCTGGAACAAAATTCGTAAAAATCGTGTAAAAATGTGTTTATATTAAGTGGTGACTAAAGTGAAAAATAAAGAGTCAGTATAAAATAATAAAAGGAATGAAATAAAATTTGAATTAATTGGAAAAAGTTAGTAATGCTGGTGAATTTCTGAAATATTAGTGAGAAAGAAAACACTATTTTATAATTTATTATAAATATGTAAAATATATTGCTTATTGTTCTCAAAATTTACGACAATCTGAATCAATAGAAAAAAGTTTAATTTTCCTAGGCGATTGGTGTGTCTCTAATCAATGCACAAAGATATCGGGGTTTCATGTCGTTTTTCATTGTTATATTTTTTTCGGACTAACCCCTCAGCAAACAAAACCCTATCCTTCCCTGTAAATTATTATGTAAACTTAAATGCCATTTAATTATTTAATAATTTTAAACTATAAAACATATTCGATAGCTTTGTTTATATTTTCGTGATGCATAACTAAACCTAGCCATTTCAGAAACCATAAAATCAATAAACTGCACTAGACATGAGAAAATAAAATATTAGTTTACTAAAATTCTTCTCTTAATTTACTTATTATCTGCAATATCATACAGACAAACAAAACTTTTTAATGACGGATCTGCTTATTCTTGACCTTTTGAAAGCTTATAATCTCAACGTAAGTCAGATGATCAACAAGCTTAAAGCCTCATTAACTTTTCCGTTTGGTACTTGTGTAGCTTTTAAGCATTGAAAGGAAATGGCGTACGAACTACGGGTCGGAAATGAGGCTCGCTTAGTGATGACTGGCTTTAGGAGCGATAGAGTAATAGCCGATGCTAAGTAGCTGCCGATCAGAAAACACATAGCTGGGTCAAGTCTACAACTTTTTATGTATTACTGATATCTTATGTCCGATTTACTGAAAAATATTTATGTCAGACGTGGCAACGTTATGGTACCAAGTCTGGCAACTCGTAATCTTATTGTTACTAAGGCGGAATAGATCAATGAAGAGACCCGATATTGATACTGCGTTTATTGGACGACTGATTTTATAAGGTAGTGCTTACAATATTCTCTCTATAATAATAATATGTAATGTATGAGTCACGTGCCTACGGTACATATCGAAATTGAAATGAACGCTTTTGATGTCAAGCATTTTCTGGCGTGCCTTGGCAGGGAATTCTTGACCTGTGTGCCGTGACAGCAAAGGGCATTACGCTATTTCCATAGCTCTACGCCGCTATTCCGGTACATGTGCGTGCACTTACTAGACGCTTCATCACTTCTCTGTGTGAATTGCGTATTCTTTATTCCTTTAATACCCGTTTAATTCATATATATATCATCATATACAAGTTCCGAATAACAACATTCGGACCGTCGGTCTACCGAACAATATCACCCGCTCGGTGAAAAATCATCCCACCGTATTTAAGCATCTTCAACCTGCGTTGGATGTGTGGCGCTACACGACTATATAGGGTGCATAACGACTACATCCCCGGGAGCGTTGGGGTTCATGACGTGGCAAATAAGCTGCAGGAAAGTCATCTCCGATGGTCCGGCCGCATAAGCCGCAGGCCTCCAGACGACGTCGGAAACAGATATCTCAACCTCTTCGTTCTAGGTCCAAGATCGCGCGGTAGGTCCAAGAAACGCTGGTTGAATGAGGTAAAAGAGGATATGGAGGAGAACAACCTCACCCAAAAGGATGCCGAAGACCGGGCAAGATTTAAGTAGAAAAGCGGACCCTGGGAGTAGACCGGGAAAACGCTAGGAAGAAGAATCAACGCCAAATCATGTTCGTGGATGAATCACGTATTGAAAAGGAGTAATCCGACCTTTCCGAGTAACGTTGTACGTAACAATAGCACCATTGTTAAGGGTAAATAAGAGAACAAGCCCAAAATAGGATGTTGACGTACAATGTAATTGATACTTAGACTTCTTAGATCTTAGGGTGGGCGAAGCCCCTTACATCGATATCTATAGGCTCCGGTTGCCAAGGCAATGAATTTATCTTACCACAGATAAGACACATCATAATTTTTGTACTATAAAAACTGACTTAGAACTTATTCCTCATGGTGGGTACCGGCGTTGACATTGTTGATGTCTATGGGCTCGGATAACCACTTATTTATTTAAAAAAAGTACTGCCACATCACAAACATTTAACATTGAAAATAACTTAAACTATTTAATTTATGGCATAATAACAAATAATAATAATACCTTAGGTTAGGCCTTAAGCTCGTCGATTCGTGAAATCAATAATAAAAAACCAAGTTAGAAGAATAAAAGCTCAAGCACCGATATCCAATCGTGCGGACACAATTTCATTAACCTTTATCGAAAAGACGCTTTCCGGAAAACGTGATATTTCAATGATTGGTAAACAACAAAAGAGAAGGAAAGAAAAAACGTGACGAACAACACATCTAACCAAGCGGAATGAAAGAATAGACTTCGATCAACCTTCAATAAGCCTATTATAAAAAAAGATTCGAGCGAACCAAAGGAAATATTCGCTAAACGTAAATAGGAACTCAAGTGGAATGTATAAAATGTTTTCTTCGTGAAAGAAACGTCTGGTACATCGACGCCAGATTCCGGCTGGATGTTTACACAGATGTAGGTAGTCCTTTACCTAGAAATGTACGTATAAAATGCATAACTTGGATAATGATTTTTTATTATTATTTTATTGCCTTTGTAGGCAGACGAGCATACGGCCCACCTGATGGTAAGTGATTACCGTCGCTCATGGACGTCAGCAATGCCAGGGGCAGAGCCAAGCCGCTGCCTACCATAAAGTACTCTTCGCAAGCCTCGTTTGAAGAAGGACATGTCATAGAGCTCGGGAAACACAGTGGAGGGGAGTTCATTCCAAAGCCGGATGTTACGTGGCAAAAAAGATCTTTGGAAACGCACTATCAATGAACGCAGTGGTTCCAGATAATATGGATGAACTCTGCTCCGATGGCGGGAGGTGCGATGATAAAAAGGAGATGAGGGAATCATCTAGAATAATTCCTCAGAGCATTCCCCATGGACCATACGGTATAAAACACAGAGAGAACCGAAGTCCCTCCGTAGACCCAGAGGTTCCAAGCGATCCGCGAGAGCAGGACTATCGACCATCCGAACAGCCCGTTTCTGTATGGAGTCAAATGGAAGTAGCTGGTATTTGGGAGCCCCGGCCCAGAGGTGAGAGCAGTACTCCACGCCAGGTCGGACCTGCGCTTTATAAAGCGCAAGTCTCTGTTCAGGCGTGAAATACCGCTTCGCTCTGTTGAGAACTCCCAACATTTTAGAGGCCAATTTGGATTTACCTTCCAAATGACTCCGAAACTGGACATCGCTCGAAATATCGACCCCCAGAATCCCGATACTCGCGGAAAGCTGCAGGGATACTCCTTGAAATTCCGGGGCCATGACAAAAGGGTCCTTCTTCGCAGTGAACGCGCAAACCTGTGTCTTCAATGGGTTGATCTGAACTGAATTCAGTTCACCCCACTTGGAGAGCCGCCCCAGAGAGTTCTCCACTTCAGACACAAGTTTTAATCGCCTCTCGTGTACAACGCTTCGAGAGAGACTCTGATGGCCGATATATCGCGCATCCCCCGTGCTATCATCCGCATAGCAATGCATGCCATCAATAGAATGACTTGATTGAGTACTATGATGGATTTTTAATTAAATACTATTTTTAATTAAAATCGCGATTAACGCGATGATTGATCCTTAAACTGTATTGCATAAGCTGCGAGCACGCTCGACTTGAAATTTTCATTCTAAAATTTAAAATTTTCTAATTAAATTCTAAAACGGGTGTACTTTTCTCGAGATATAATCTATATTTTCAAAAAGAAACCTTGTTGATCCGTTGCTCCTTCACATTGTAAGACACGGATAAAAACATTTTCGTATTTTCGCCTTATTAAATACCAATCGAATATTTAAAACGCTTAAAAGGAATTGAACCTTGAAGTGATTTTCCATTAAAGCCAGTGACAGAAAAAAAGGTTAAGTCGGCTTTATGTTAAGTGCTCTTGAAAACAAAAGAATTGAACATGTTTTTGTCATCTCGAACTCTTTCTATAAAAACTTATACGATATCTTTCCCATTTGTCATAAGATATTAGATGCTATTAGCTTTTTTTTATTATACTAGTTTCGCCCAAACACTTATCTTCAATACTTACAGCCGATTCAAGTAAAGTGCTCCAATTTACTTGAATCGTTTCGTGCCGCCATCACACGAATCTCCTTTTTAAGTAACCGAGAGATTTCACTATTGAATGAGCAAACAGGCTATTTCAAAGTCTGAGCACCTCTTACACCGTTTACGTGTATACACCGTTTAAAAATACTCGTAAGATAAATATTTTTGGTCGACTTTCATTGAGTTTTAAACGCGGTGCTCTCATTGTTGATACTTTAAGAGATGTTTTTGACATAACACCGTCAACAAATAGTAGATAGCTCGTATTTTCGGCTAATGTAATATATAGCTACTAGAACAAAGCGCGCTACAGCGTAGCCGTATCTTCATTTCCACAAATATGCCTTAGATACTGAACAAAAAGGGTTGTAGCATATCATAGTCGACGTGGACAAGCAATAAAATTCCATTACACACATTTTCTCAAAAAGGTCCTTTTCTAAAATATAATGTTTAGGAATATAAGTTTGTTGCTAAATCAAAGCCGTTTTTTTTACTGGATTAGAAATTACTAGCTGTACCCATCCGCTTCGCTGGGCATTTAAAATTAACATTACTATTTCTCACCCCCACAAATATTCTCATCGTTAACGCCCCCGCAACTGGTGTAGGGAGTCCAACACTCATATAAATATTAGCCTAGCCATTAAGTACATGTATTTTCTACATGAATACCAAGTTTCAAGTCAATCGGATGCGTGGTTCAGTAGTTATAACGGAACATCCGTAAAAACCACTGTAGATTTATATATTAGTATAGATTTTAAGTTAATTTGAAAATCTTATTTAAAAAATAAAAAAATTGCCTTTTTTACTAAATTTGGGAATATATTCTTTCTTTCTTCTAGCTCTCAAGTGCTCAACCTCTTTGTATGACTTCAGCACTCAATTTTTGTCAGAATGATTCAGGAACTTACCCTTGATGTTTAAACGTTGAGTTTGATCTCTGGCAATCACGTTAGGCTATTAATTTAAATATTTCGAGAAATTAGAAAAAAAAATCTGTGTGAAATACGCGACTAGTGACGAGATTATTGAGAAAAATTCCGATTCGAATAATCTTTGCCGTGAAAAGTAAATTCTTTCTTAAATATGTACTTGTTTTTTATTTGGTCACCTAGGAACGTATTCCCTATAGTTCCATAAATAATATATTACATAAGACTGAAAACTTTGGCTATAAATTCTTTAATATATTTTTTTTTATTGCTTAGATGTGTGGACGAACTCACGGCCCACCTGGTGTTAAGTGGTCACTGGAACCCATAGATATCTACAACGTAAATGCCGCCACCCAGCTTGTGATATGAGTTCTAAGGTCTCAGTATAGTTACAACGGCTACCACACCCCTGGTACGTACCCGTGCGGACCCACAAGAGGTCCTACCACCGGTAAAAATCTCATATTTAATTGTCTCTTCACTAAAATGATTTTCATCAAAACTCAAAGATTGTGCATCTACCGTTTTATTTTATTTAAAAGCTAAAGCGATTAGACTATCATTCACAGAGATTGCAGTGTTGGAAACAGACGTCTGTTTTGATATTTAAATGCTTAAGAACTTTTGTCTTTACCAACTTCGTAGCATTTCCTCCGCTGTTTCTCAACTGTTTTTAGTTTTGTTTCGTAAGTATTCACAAGTTTAATAGCAAGTAATAAAGTAATATTCAAAATAGCGAGCTGTCAATTTCAATATTTCAGCTATAAAAGAGAAAATTATCTTATCTTATACCTTTAAACGAGATTCTTGTATATATATGTTTATTATTGTATGTATATAATCGTCTAGTATATTTTAAAATCGAAATCTTTGAGATATTATCGTTAATTAATGTTTAAAAAGGAAAACTCATCAGAGAAACAATCCACTGAATTATTAAATGTTCATTATCATGTTTCAAATTTAAGGTGGCTCGTTTTTTTTTTTAATGATAATAAAAATCCCTTTCCGCTGTAAGTCTCAAAAGGTTTTTCATCTTCAAATTTATTATTTTCGTGAAGAGCAAGACCTTTTAAATTATGTAACAAACGAGATTTTCGTATCCTCGGACAGATTGAAAATAAATATTAAAATTAAAATTACATTTCGTTGATAAACATAGAAAAAGTAACCAATTTTTTACGGTATATTCTGCGCTGGAGGTTCGTCTTTGAATGAAAATAAAACATTAATCAGTTGTCTGTAAAGTCGGTTTACGGACGATAGTTTTACGTGATAACGTCAGCAGCAGAACTATCAGAACTGCTAGCTCTGACGTCACGCGAAAAGAGAGATAAATGTGTCACAAGTCAACGCTTGGGCCGATAGTATCTCTCTATCGCTTGTCACGCGCTCTCGCTTGCACGCTCAGCCGGAACGTGACACTTTTTCGTGCGTGTACCCGGTGGTCATCGACTTTATCACGTCAAAAAAATATTTCGTGTAATTTGCAATTGTAATATGTGATATATACACATGTAGTAAGTCACTATCTGCTTATATATTTTGCTGCATGGCAATCAAGACAGCTGCCTCAGAATCCCATTTTTGTCGCAGTCAGTTTGATGGATAGGAGAAAGATGAGTAGCGGAATCCACGTTGGAGTATATCTACCACTAGATTAGCGGCGAACTCGACTGTTCATTTTGACAATTGAAACAACAATTGAAATTAGTTTAAAATGATATTTACTATCACTCACCTCATTAACTCCTCTCACAATAGCTCTCATAGTCGCGTTTCTTGGTCCATCCACAGTCCGACCGTCGTCTGTAGGACCCCACGAGGCACTGTATATGTGAATCTTGTGGGGCTCATGACCCATAGAATTGGCTTCGATGAGATCTGTCATGTACGGCTGGTCTAACATTCTTATACCTAGAAAAATAAAAGAAAATCATAATGAATTTTTTTCACTCGCTAGACAAGCCATGTGGTTTCACCTGCGATATCATTAAAATTTAGAAAAACAATTCATAGCATTTTCCTGTGATAAAGGGCCATTTGTGTTAATACAATAGACAGTTGGTCGATTCGTAAAATCACGAATCAGCAAACATAGTGCCGTGTTTTTATTTTGTCAGATATACGTACCTGGCATTGGACGGGTTAATTGTCATTTACAATGATGAAATTACCTAGTGTATTAATAGATCTTAAATAATATATTGCGTAAATGAGCGAATGAGCTCACGGATCACCTGGAGCTAAATGGTTACCGGGGCCCATAGATATCGTAACGTGATTGCTGCATAACAGATATTTTACCCTTCAAACTTAAACTCATTTCTGCTTTACGACAGAAACATGCGGACTCACAAAACGAAATTTTTGTGACGGTTTGTGTACGTGCTATATGCATATAATTAAAAAAAAAGATGTGTGGTGTCGTGGGACACCGGATAGGAACGAAGTTCCTTATTATAAAAATATTAATTTTAAGTTCTATTCGAGGTAAAAAAAATATAAAACTGGAGGTTTCGCAACAACCCACTGTCATTCGGTAACGTGCGAACTTATTGTGGTACACTTCATTCACGGTTGTTTGCATAACAGTTAGCGTATTGCGCAAACGAACGCTCTGAGATCGTGGTCAAGGAATGATAAAACAATATGTTATTTTTTGAACGTTATTACAAAGTTAAGTCGTACACTGTACATTACTAATTTGTACGTTATTACAAAGTTAAGTCGTACACTGTGTGCATTACTAATAAAAATCTTACGTTACGGACGTTTTTTTCCGGTTAGGGTACCTCTCCGAATCGTCCCATAAGGAACTTCGTTCCAAAAACATTACAAATTGATACCCTTTACAGACGTATCATATGATATTAGTACACCAAATTCTTACCCATAGGACCTCATTTAATATCTTACGCACATCAAGTATCCAATTTCCCGGATACATAAATTAATCAAAACGGCTTACGAGTAATTGCTGGGCTCTCCTAATATTACGTGACGCGATTGATCAGCCAAAGAACCTTTTGTCTATCCCGAAAGGTCACGTGTAATATTCATGTAAGAGCGTTTTCATCAATAAATTACAGGATCATTTATATTGTATTCAGTGTAAGACTAGTTGTTAGTAGTCAATGCGTTGTTATTCGGAGATCATTAATCGAATGAAAACAAATGCCGATTATATTCAACAATGAAACTATATTTCGTTTAGGTGGTTAAGTATTAAAAAATGCGCGGGCCAAATTGAATTAAAAAAAAATGTTTCTTGATTAGCAACATGATTGGTTAGAAATAATTTGGTAATAAAATAAATTTCGTGTAATATTCTATGATGAGCCGCCGTCTAATTTTCGTATATACGCTAATAAAACTGTAGACAGTAATAGCAAATCTATACTAATATTATAAAGAGGAAAGATTTGTTTGTTTGTTTGTTTCGAATAGGCTCCGAAACTACTGGACCGATTTGAAAAATTCTTTTTCCATTAGAAGCCGACATTGTCCCTGATGAACATAGGCTACTTTTTTTTTTTTTTTTGATTCATGTTTGTTTTAATGTTTCCGAAGCGAAGCGAGGGCGGGTCGCTAGTCATCAAGAAAGTAAGCACGTTGTAGGTATAATTTAATAAAAAATTAGGACCAATAAAACTGAGAATCCGTAATTTATTCTATACAGGTATAATTGTTATCTCCGGCTGTAGATCGTTGATTCCTTTTTTACTTGAGATCCTTTTGTAATTCGAGAAATCTTTCGTAGTTATCTTCTTGGGTTTTCGCGAGTCGCAGATATAATTAAAACTGCTTTTACGATTTAATGCTAAATATGTTATAAAATAATTTTATATGCTTAAGTTTGTTGTCATTATATTACTTCTGAGGTTTGGAATACTATACAGTTTTTGAATCCTTGACGTTTTAAATGTGTATCGTGTTCAATGCTTAAAAAAAAGATGCGTGGTGACGTGGGACACCAGATAGGAAAGGAAAGGAAAGAAGTTCCTTATTATAAAAATATTAATTTTAAGTTCTATTCTATTCTAAGTTCTATACCTCGAATAAAAAAAAAATTATTTGGGTATACATTTTTTATTATGATTTTTTTATTGATAAAAATAAATAAAACTACTTTACAAAGTTATCGACTTTATTTTATTCACAATGATTTATAATAAATTTATAATAAAAAAATATGTTATTTTTTGTATGTTATTACAAAGTTACGTCGTACACTGTGTGCATTGCTAATAAAAATCTTACGTTACGGACGTTTTTTCCCGGTTTGGGTACCCCTCCGCATCGTCCCATAAGGAACTTCGTTCCAAAAATTATTAAAAATAATTTACATTTCATTGTTTATAACAGAGGCTAAAAAACCGAGCAAAATATTTACAGTTCTATAGGGAAAATAAATCTTTTCATTCTATTCTTTAATCTTTAACTGACACGTACGACCATTCAAATGAGTCTAAACTGGAATTGCACGCGTTAAATAAATTGATCGTAAAATGAAATCAGATCCGAAAATTTTATAATACAAATTCACGTCTTCGCTGTTGCTTTTACGAGTTTGCGTGGGTGGCTTCGCTCTGTATAATGAATTCATAAAGTTGGATTTACTAAAACGACAACTTTAACAGGCCTAACTTAGCAAATAAATAAAGTTTTTCGTGTGTGTGTTATTAAAACAGGTTATGGTTAAAGTATGATTCAGTATTATTATTATACAATTATTGAATGCGGAAGGCGGAGGACCGCATTATGTGGAAGGCATTGGGGAAGGCCTATGTCCAGCAGTGGGCAGATAAAGGCTGATGATGATGATGATGATTATACAATTAAACGATTTATTATTTGTTATGAATCTAAAATTTATTTTATTTTCCGTAAATTATTTTAATATACTGTTTAGGTATTATATAAAATTTATACGATTGACATAAATGTTACACTCAAACATCCTCTATTTTCAAAGAAAGTCTCGGTCTCAAGGGTTTGGTGTTTTACATGTTGTTTGGTTAGGAAGAAAAATTATGCATATATGTATATATTTTTTTCATTACTGCATAAAAGCTGATATGACTTCAGTCTGTAAAATTAATGTCATATGATTAAATATCAGTCTGTTTATAAAAAAATACACATCATATATAAATAATTACATATTGTTAAACATTTATTCGTATAGTAATTTCGTCAAATAATTTGGTATTTATTGATTTTATAAATCAAACGAGTTTGCTGGGATGAAAGTTGGACAGTCTTATAGTAATCTCACAGTTCAGTGGAGCGCGACCTTTAGATTGGAATAAACTCATCCATCCGAGAAATTACTGGTGCATACGTTAATATAACAAAAAGATCATTTTTAAATTGTTTATACTTGTTTTTTTCTATTTCTTAAACGATATTCACAAATATCAAAACAAATGACTGTATAAATTCATTTTATATTTTACTAGCGACCCGCCCTCGCTTCGATTCGGAAATTGTAATTTATTATTGATTTCTCCACTATTTAATGGATGTTATTATCCATATACACCTTCCTCTTCAATCAGTCTATTCTAGTTTTAAAGATTTAAGCATAGGGGAAAGTGGGGGAAACGCGAACGCTGGGTAATGCCGAATTCAATGGTTCTAATGTGTTAGAAAGATATATCCTAAGTTTATTTGCCGCCATTTCGGAGATCACGCCACCACTGATACTAGTCAATAACACGGGAGACGCGGACGCACGTACTTAAACAGGTATGCATTTTTCAATATTTTGTATGTTTTAGATGTAATTTTTTGGTAAATTCAAGTTGATGTAACTTTATTTCTATCTACAATAATAATTCAGCTTTTACATAGTGGAATAATCACATATTACTCAGCTAAATGATAATGATGTAGTAGGCAAAATAAATTTAACTAAAATTGTTTTTTGACCTTTAATTATTTTCGATTCCGCGGGGTAAAGACGAACACTCCATGTCGGGCAATCTCGAACATTCGCCGTTACCCCACTCCCGTTTGTTGGTACCCCGTTCAACTTTTTTTTAAATATTACTACAGATGCCTTGTACTTACAAAAGAAAGACTGAACTGAAGTATAGTTTAGAAGATCTCAAAAAGGCTATAGACGATGTTAAAACCAAAAAACTCTCCCTGCGTAAGCATATAATGTTTCAAAAACCACTAATTTTGACCATCTAATGAAAGAAGTGTTAATACAGCCATGGTCTGGATGAAAACCTTTATTTACAGACAATCAGGAAACGTAAGAAATCAAGAAGAAAACAGAAAGATGGCAAAAAAGGAACCCAAATAAAAAGACTGAAATGTAATGAGAGAACACCTTCAAGCAAGAACTAAGAAATATTATTAAAGAATTTGAACAATATAAAAAAAGACTCTAGTGACTCTAGTCAAAATACGAAAAAAAAAGGAAAAAGGCGAAAAAGAAAATAAAGACTACTTTTGTATTTTTTGTAGAGATAAATATACCTATTGATCCTCCCGTTGAAGACTAGATTGTGTGCTATATGTGCAAAAGATGAGCTCACGAGAGTTGTACTAATGGACAGTCAACATCGTTGGGTTTTAAATGTGGTGTGATCTATGTCGTTAATAATGTTAGTTCGTAATCACCCCACTTGGTGTTCGTATTTACCCGACTGATGTCGGGCAAAGCCGAACACTAAGGGTTTTGTTTTTCTTTCATATTGTAGCAATTTATTAAAAAAATATAAATGATGATTAGTGAATAAGTTAGACAGATAAGTAAACTTTACAATAAAAAAAAATTAAAAAATCTGTGATTAAATTCCATTGTTTTATTTAAGTTTTCCCCTAGGTGTTCGTATATCCCCCACTTTCCCCTACATAGGGACAGATATAGGGCAGAGAAAGCGACTTTGTTTTATACTATGTAGTGATGTAGGAAAAGTTTTTTTTTAACATAAATCAATTCATACAGTAGAAGAAATCTTCCAATGCGCTTGAAGGAAGCACAGTTGCCAAGATACTTACTGGCCGTGTTACCTCGTTGGACACCCAGACTCATACAAAGTACCAGCTAGTACGTGTAGTCTCCTCAACACAATACAAATTGATTCGGAAACTGAATTTAAACTTAGTAAAGTTACGGGCCTCGACGAGACAAACTAATATTTTGAATACTAGTTTCAGTATTATGAACTCGGATAGGGTGATGGTACCTATCCATGCGGGCTATTTCAGCAGTGAAGCAGTAATGAGTTTCGGTTGGAAAAGTGGGGCAGCCGTTGTACTATAAAACTGAGACTTAAAACTCATCTCTCAAGATGGTTGGCGGCATTTACGTTGCTGATGTCTATGGTCTCCAGTTAATACTTAATAGGTCAAGCTCAGATGGGCCGCGAGCTCTTTCACCCATCTAAGAAAAAAAAAGATTAAACACTCTTATTTGATAATTTTTATATTTAATTATTGGGAAAACATATTTGAAAAAGCGCCTTTATTCACAACTTTCTTTCCTAACTATGAAAAGTCAAAGAGCTAAATCGTGATAGGATAATTAATTTCCATTAACAAAATTCTGATCAAATACAAGAAGATTTCAGTGTTTTTTTATTGCCCTTGTAGACAGACTGGCATACGGCCCACCTGATGGTGAGTGGTTACCGTCGCTCCTGGACTCCAGCAATGCCACGGGCAGAGCTAAGCCGCTGCCTACCGTTAAGTACTCTTCACAAGCCTCGTTTGAAGAAGCACAAGTCAGAGCGCTCGGGAAATACCGTGGAGGGAAGCTCATTCCAAAGCCGGATGGTACGTGACAAAAAATAACTCTGGAAACACACTGTGGATGAACGCAGTGGGTCTAGGTAGTATGGAGTGCTAGCAGAAATTCTCAACAAATTAACTCTAAGTTTTAAGAAAAGAAAATGGCTAGGGCGGTGTTTGTATACACAAGGTTGTTTCTTCAGGCAATGTAGATTTATTCCCTATTTATATTTTATTATTTATATATTATTATATTATATTATAATTTACTAATTTTACTAATTTATATCATATTCTGAGTATGTACACACGTACGGAGTCTTCATTCCCGCAAAGAACCAAAGGGAAACGGGGGTGACTGAGAATCAGCGCTGTTCAATTTATCAACCTTGAACAGCAATAGCTGAGCCACCTCCTTTTGCCTTTTTCTCTTTTTTTTTGCTTTTCTTTTTTTTTTGTATTTCATTTTATGATGTGAAAGGCAATAAATGATCTTTATTATTATTATTATTATTATTATTATTTATATTATTTCCATTTCGTTAGCACCAAACAACCAAACAAAACCCGAAAATAAATTCATGGAATAAGCACTAAAACAGTAATGTCCTGAAAGCCGAGAGAAAGGCAGCAGACGTACCCATAATCGCGTCAAACGATTCACCGGAGCGAAAGTTATAATACGAAATTCATCAAGGTCTTTCATTCTAGGATCGCCATTGCGTGAATACGTTGTATATTGTACAAAAAATATTATCTTTATAATTTACTAGCGACCCGCCGTCGCTTCGCTTCGGAAACATTAAAACACACATGAAATCAAAAAAAAAAAAAAAAGTAGCCTATGTTTATCAGGGACAATGTCGGCTTCTAATGGAAAAAGAATTTTTCAAATCGATCCAGTAGTTTCGGAGCCTATTCGAAACAAACAAACAAACAAATCTTTCCTCTTTATAATATTATTATAGTATAGAAGTATAAATGAACGAAAGCTTGAAATAGGAATGTTTGCTATTTTTAATCAATTATGGTCGAAAACTAGCAGTTAAATACGAATAAAATTTAGTGGCTTGTTTTTTTTTGTGTAACTATTCATACCTCATAATTTCAGCCCTTACCCCTGAAACTATTACTACTACAGCCATTTAAGTTTTAAATTAATTGTTTATTAAATAACAATCAGGAATATTTAAAGATCAAAAATGTTTACAATACTAAATCTATAAAATTTAATCATCGAATATCTCGCCCGGTTACGCTGGCATAATCCTTCGAACTGACGAGCATAGGTATGATAAAAAAAATTGAATATTATTATCAATCACAATACACTTGTTTATTGAAAAGCCACTGTTTTTTATTACGTAATCGACCGAAACAAGTTTATAACAAAAAAGATAAAATGCTCCTTCGAACGATGCAACAGCTGCAGAGATAGATGTTCTTGGCATATTTTTTGTTCCGATGTACAATGTAGAAATGGACAAAGCAATGAAAACAATAACGACTGTTATAGTGCTAGTGTCTCTTGAAAATGGAAAATGTCCTCTTCACCGTGTTAGATGACAGCTACCACAATCATTATTAATGTCTATATTGATGAAGGCTCGTTGTGTGTGTATTGAGTGGTTAATTTATAGACATGACAACGTGAATTGTGACCTGGATATTTGAGGTCGAAATTGTATTTACATTGTGTTGCGGTCTGACCTCAACAAATGGACAGAAATATGATATCAAAGAGATGACAATACTCCCAGAATCTGTGTGTGTCAGTTTTCTACTATACGCTCTGGCAAAGATTTAAACATAATCTTGACTTGACTTGACTTGGCTCTAATAATAACTTGATATAATCATGCAAACTTGCTTAAGTTTCTGAGTCAACTCAAGTCAAATAGCTTGCGGTTAAACAAGAGAAACTTGATACGTATTGTGTATTATTATTAATATTGTACCTTAGCTTACACATTAAATGTTCTAAACACGTGCTAAATAATATCAAAGCTACTTTTGAGCACGTGTACGAATACCACAAAGATTCACGTTTCTTTTAGTACAAAATGTTTTACTGAACATAATGTGTGCTGAAAAAGATAAGGCATTAAATTTTAGTTAAAACATTAGTCTAGTCATGACCTTGAACTCTTTTTTGATTTTTTGATAATGTTTAAAATGTATTAATATGAGTCGATTAAAGTCGTGTTTATATTTTTTTATAAAATTAAAAATGTGAATCAGCGAACTTCACATTTCATTTCAGGCTCTCCAAACCGAAACGCATTACTCTGATGGCAGAAATACACAGGGCAATGGTACCTACCCATGTGGGCTCTAAAGATGCCCTACCATGATTTAATTCCTTTTACATTGTTAATTCGTTTTGAAAAGATTTTCGTTCGATTTTAAACTAACGCTTCTTACTGAAAATCTTGTAGGTTGCATGCAATCAAGATAATTGAATTTGAATATTTCCATCCAATATTAAAAGTACTGTTACGCCGGTAAGAATAGCGCCATCTGTCGATCGCCAACGAATATCAAAAGAACTAGTAACATCGAGAACGCTGGAGAAGTGTAACACCATCTATTATCAAATAGCGGTAACGCATATCGAAACGAGTCGCCCTATCGGGAATGTTCTCTATAATTGTAGTCTTGTCGTGTCGGTTATAAAAGCGTTGAAGATATGTCATGAAGGCAATTAGTAATCGGTTATACTCGAAGCGAAACAGCTAACGGATCACGTGGAGAATGTGAAAGATGTAAAGTGCGAATTGTAAAATGTTCCTAAGGTGTTCTAAGTCTTAAATAGAGGTTTAAATTGTACTTCGGTGAAAACCTGAGATCCCTCATCTCCTTTTTATCATCGCACTTCCCGCAATCCGAGCAGAGCTCATCCATATTATCTGGAACCGCTGCGTTCATCGACAGTGCGTTTCCAGAGTTATTTTTTGCCACGTACCATCCGGCTATGGAACCACGGTGTTTTCCGAGCGCTATGACATGTCCTTCTTCAAACGAGGCTTGTGTAGAGTATTGATCGGTAGGCAGCGGCTTGGCTCTGTCCCTGGCATTGCTGGAGTCCATGGGCGACGGTAACCACTCACCATCAGGTGGACCGTATGCTCGTCTGTCTGCAAGGGCAATAAAAAAAAGTATTATTCATCCCGAGCATCCCCGTAACAGTACTTACCGGCAACTTTGGAGTGATAAGCGACGCCGACACCACAGACGCCGTTGTCGCGAGCTGCGGCCACTTCACCAGCGCACCTCGTTCCGTGACTAAATAAATAAATAAACGTTTTTATCTTATACCTTTAAACGAGCAATTATTGTATATTAATATATATTCTGAATCTCGGAAACGGCTCCAACGATTTTCATAAAATTTAGTATACAGGAGATTTCGGGGGCGATAAATCGATCTAGCTACGATTTATTTTCAGAAAATGTTGTTTTATTCGTGTTTTCAATAATCAACTCTCCCCGACATCTATTGGCGAATAATAATACTATTTTTCTTAATTGAGGGCAACTAACCGCTTTAAAGACACAACAAGATGGCGGTCATCATCTAGTTTTACTGGTGGTAGGACCTTTTGTGAGTACACGGGTAGGTACCACCACCCTGTCTATTTCTGCCGTGAAGCAGTAATGCGTTTCGGTTTGAAGGGTGCGGTAGCCGTTGTAACTATACTGAGACCCTAGAACTTATATCTCAAGATGGGTGGCGCGTTTACGTTGTAGATGTCTATGGGCTCCAGTAACTACTTAACATCAGGTGGGCTGTGAGCTTGTCCAGCCATCTAAGCAATAAAATTACATTAAACGTACACATAATATTTTTATACATATTCAACAAAATTTTCATAGCAACTTAATGCAGCTGCCTTGCCGTGTCATTTATCAAATCTTGTTGAAATTTCATGCAATCAGCTGTGATTGGCAGTCCGTAGAAATTATCAGGCTTAGTACTAATGGTAAGCCTTTCTAGTTTGTTTATGCAAAACTAGCGCAATAAAAACCTAGCAGGGCATAGGCATAAATGCCAATATGCCGGTTGGCGGTCACGTTATGCCGTTATAGTACTTATATATAGAACGCTGCTAATCCCCCAATGAACCTCACGGTGGCCTTTTACGACACCCATGGGGAAAATGGCAGCAGCCCCATCTATGTATCATCAGATATAGTCATGATTCAAAATTTTAATTGAATTCATAACATCGTAATTTTGAAACTGGGAAACATTTCATTGTACGATAACAGCCATTATTACAATTGTTATTACTAAAAACACTGATGTCAAACGAAAAGTTTATCTTAGCTAATATCATAAAGCTTAAATTATAATATTAATCAGAACCAAAGAAGAGGCTTTACGAACTCGAAATAACTTAGCCTTTGTTCCATGTAACGTAAGCCCCAAAACGTGAACAGCTATTACGGACCCTGAAACCTCAAACCGAGAAACTTTATGAAATAAATCCCTCTCGTAACTTACGTAGCAAGAAACTTCAAGTTCAAGACTTCGGCGTTCAGTTAGAGTATTAAGCAAGTTTAAACTAAGCTATTTATAGGTAAAAGCGATACCTTTGTTTCTAAAATGGCCGATAAATGTCGAGCAAATAGCAAGAGGTATTTTTTAGAGAAATATAAATGTCAATAAATATCCCTCCAGAAAATATTTATATCTTTCGCCGTAAATGATATTCAGCTTCTAAACTAAAGAAATTCAAACTTAATTTAGGATAATTTTTTTGTAAAAGCTTAGAATACAATATCAATGAAATAAATCCCTCTCGAAACGGACGTAGCAAGAAACTTCAAGTTCAAGACTTCGGCGTTCAGTTAGAGTATTAAGTAAGTTTAAACTAAGCTATTTATAGGTAAAAGGGGTACCTTTGTTTCTAAAATGGCCGATAAATGTCGAGCAAATAGCAAGAGGTATTTTTTAGAGAAATATAAATGTCAATAAATATCCCTCCAGAAAATATTTATATCTTTCGCCGTAAATGATATTCAGCTTCTAAACTAAAGAAATTCAAACTTAATTTAGGATTATTTTTTTGTAAAAGCTTAGAATACAATATCAATGAAATAAATCCCTCTCGAAACGGACGTAGCAAGAAACTTCAAGTTCAAGACTTCGGCGTTCAGTTAGAGTATTAAGTAAGTTTAAACTAAGCTATTTATAGGTAAAAGCGTTACCTTTGTTTCTAAAATGGCCGATAAATGTCGGACTAAAAGGGTATTTTTTAGAGAAATATAAATGTCAATAAGCATCCCTCCAGAAAATATTTATATCTTTCGCCGTAAATGATATTCAGCTTCTAAACTAAAGAAATTCAAACGTAATTTAAAATATTTATTTTGTAAAAGCTTAGAATACAATATCAAAAAAGGTAATGAATTACGAGAGATTCCGACGAAATCGAATTCGTTTGCGTCCATCAGAAAAACATTTTCAATTAGCCGCCGAAGGAATTCCTTTCTGGAGTTTTCCACTTAATTAACTCTCGGTGTTGATTAAAACTTGTCCCCGGGTAAATTGGAGATTTCGGGATCCCAGGGCCGGCTTTCGTTTAGCTCGGTCAATAGAGGCGCTCTTTGATTTTTCGTTGGACTCATCTGACGCTTTGAACCTGACTTTTTTGGGTCCCAACGTTGTTTTAGATGTAAAATTGTAATTAACAGGAAGCTGTCGTTCGTTAGAAGACTGCGATGAGATTTTTAATTTAACGTAAGCATATGCGGAACTAATTACAACTTTTATAACACTGTAGCAAAATGCTAATAGCTTACAGAATGCTAACATCTTTGAAATTCATAGTGAACGGTAGGCAGCGGCATTGCTGAAGTCCATGGGCGACGCTAACCACTCACCATTAGATGGGCCGTATGTTACGTCTGCCTAAAATGGCAATAAAAAAAAAAACGTATCTATGCAATGCACTGGCATATTAGCTGTCGCATGTTTATGGTATTATGCTATTCCTATGAAGTTTCAAAATCAGAATTTAAAGTTTTAATTTAAAGTTTTAATTATAATTCATTGTAGCCGAGGATTTTAAATTAAATTTTCTTAGGGAACTTTATTCAGTGGAATGCAATTTCGATTTGAAATACCAAACTAATCCTCTCTGTTTAAAATTTCAGTTATTTATATTTAAGTGCACGTGGTTTAGTAACATTAGTCGATAAATTATTATTATAGGTGTTTCATGAATCTGTGACGGTAGCCATCATACAACGCAAGATGTTTGACAGATACCTGAATCTAACTTATGACATTTTCAAGATAAGCTTGCTTAAATACAAGTTCCGAACAACAACATTCGGACGCTATCATCGAGCGATATCACCCGCGCGGTTGAAGATCTTCCTTTCGTCGTTATGCATACAAATACTATTTTTGTGTATTTTGGTGCAGATTAGGTTCCTTAATAATGTCTCCGGAAGTTAAAAAGGAAATACTTGAATTAAAGTTATTACGTCAAGTCCAAAATTACTGTAAATAAGATTTTACAAATAACCTCTAACATCTTACATTTGAACGTCGATAAAACTTTAATGGCTTAACTTGTAGATACTGAAATCAAAACACCAAGACTCATTCTTTATTCGTATCATCTCTCCACAAAATTTTCCGTCATTTCTAATATGTAATCACCCAGTTTATGGACGCTTGGTATAAAGGGCTCCAACCTCTCTCATACGGCAATGAAAATTTATACGTCTCCCGTTCTCCGCCTTTACTTTTAGCTAGATTAACATAAAACAGGCGAAACAGGGTACGGATAAAAAAAATTATAATTTTGAATATAATTCTTTCTCTGTTTTTTTCGTTTCAGAAGCTAATTACATTGATGGTAGAAAGATACTTGAAGTATTAAGGAAGGCATTAAAGGACCACTATCTATCGATTTAGTATTACTCATATGCATTTATTTTATGTATTTCATTATATATATACGAGTATTTATATGTTATGTTATTTATCTGTAATTATGTATGTATATAGTCTGACTATTATATATTAGTATCAATAAGTAAATTGATTAGATTGTACTCTTTTACCCACTTGTAAAGCTCTCCCTCTTTAAGAACGGTTAGCTGATAGATAACTCAATTGTTGAGTTAAGCTCGCCATTTTATAACTTTTCGCAGTTATTGTATTATATTAACTGTGTGTAAAATAAAGAATAAAAAGAATAAAGAAAGAACTGCTTCCATCTTACCTATTTCGCGTGTGAAGCAGTCAAATTATGGGTTTGAAAAATTGACAGCTGACCGACTGACAGGTATTTTAATATTTAATCTTCCACCTTAATTTCTTAATGCAGCCTGAAAAGCTGCGGTTATCACTTAACACCAGCTCGCCCATGGGCTCGTCCGCCCAAATTGCATACGTAGGATGCTAATACTTACTGGAGCGGGTTTCCAACACATTCTGAAACCGCTGCCACTTAAGACGTAATATGGTGTTTAAAATACACGTGTACAACAGTTGCAAAGAATCGCAAATATCTTCGGAACCTTGCCTAAAGGGACTCCTTTTAATAATATATTTTAGTTATTAAATTATTATCATTATTATTTATTAATATTAATATTATTTTAATATTATTAATTTAGTATTTAATTAATTTATTTTCTTATTATTAGCGTAGCACGACTAATATCTATATATTAATACGTGAAGCAAAAACTTTGTATCCCTTTTTACGAAATTTTCGCGGACGGAGGAGTATGAAATTTTCCACATTTATAGAGAATATAGAGAAGAAGTGCACAATGCTAATATTTTTTTAAAATAATGCATAAAAGATACATTAAATCAATAAAGAAAACATTACACACACTACATACCATGTATTTGATGCACACACGCATGCATACTATTTATTGTCAAACTTTTGTTCTTGACGTCAGTTATCAAATTGAGATTAAATATTGTTCGTCTTTGTTAGTATTATTTATAGTGTAGTCTTAGCGAAATTTGTGATTACCTATAGAAGTATAAAATACAATCATAATAGTGTACAAACTTACAATTCCAATTAATTATAGTCGAATTTCGACTACTACGGGACCTCTAGTTTATGTAATTATCGCAACGTCACTATGACCTTCAATTCCTAGGATCGATGTGTCTCGGTCGTATTAAATTGTGATTGAATACTGATTACCTGTTAAACCAGTCATCCGTGTAGCGTGGATAAGGAAACGGATCGTTGCTACTGAAGTCGTACGAAGCCTCCGCATTCTAGAATAAAACAAACAAAGTTAATTTATGTTTTTTATTTTTTATTGCTTAGATGTGTGAACGAGCTCACAGCCTGGTGTTAAGTGGTTACTGGAGCCCATAGACATCTACAACGTAAATGCGCCACCCACCTTGAGATATAAGTTCTAAGCTCTCAAGTATAGTTACAACGGCTGCCCCACCCTTCAAACCGAAACGCATTACTGCTTCACGGCAGAAATAGACAGGGTGGCGGTACCTACCCGCGCGGACTCACAACAGGTCCTACCACCAGTGTTATGTAGAAAATTTTTGTACTAAGGGTAGTATGTAAATTGTAAAACTGTAGGTGAGTCTATGCAGTGTTGCTTGTCGACGGTTTTTTGTCACAAACTAGTCAAACGTTATGATATCAAAGATAAGAAAAGCTATAAAGCTTTTCAGATTACATGGGTATGTCTCATACCGGGACTTTCACTTTATGGTTGGAGTCTCTAAGCTGTAACCGCTCAACCTAAGATAGGATTAAAGCTCAGCTGGTCTTTTTAACGAATAAAAGGAAAAAACCTCTAAAATCACAGCTCGTCTGCTTTTTAGCGAATAAAAGGAAAAGCTCTAAAATGACGCTGAGAGAGCAAGCTTTCGAGAATAGAACAGAAAAACTTTGTCAATTGAGCAGTAATATGTGGCCAAAGGAACTAGGTTAGATATCCCGTCGCAGTCCGTATCTTCGTAAGAAATAGTGTTTGTCTGCGTATAGAATTTCTCGTCTCTTCTCTACAAAAACTAAGCGACCAGCAGCGATTAAAAATGTTGTTATTTAATTTCGTATTTATCAACGACAGCATGACACGCTATCATATGTAAACTACCATTTCATGTCATTTTTATCATTATAACATCGTAGCACTCTGTCAGTTATCAATGAAGCTTATCACATCGAAGTCACGATAAACAATGATCGATCGAGCTTTAACGGAACGGGCACTTGTATTATTGTTTTAAAGCATTTTATGAAGGCAACTTTTCGGTGTAAGTTCACGTAGTTTTTTTTTTTATTGCCTTTGTAGGCAGACGAGCATACGGCCCACCTGATGGTAAGTGGTCACCGTCGCTCATGGACGTCAGCAATGCCAGGGGCAGAGCCAAGCCGCTGCCTACCATAAAGTACTCTCCGCAAGCCTCGTTTGAAGAAGGACATGTCATAGCGCTCGGAAAACACCGTGGAGGATTCCTACAATCATTCTGTATTCTTGTTCAGGTTTGACAGATGAGATAGCGATTACGCCGAACATCTCGATGGTATACCCTACTCGGAATGGCCTTGACTCCTCTACTCGGAAGATATAAAGTTAAAGTCGTTAAAGGATAAGACGTCCGGTGCATACGTATCCAGCGTGAAATACGTACATAACAAATGTTCACGATTGACTTCCACGGTGAAGGAATAGCATCGTGTAATAAAAATCAAACCCGCAAAATTATAATTTGCGTAATTATTGGTGTTAGGACCTCTTGTGAGTCCTCACGGGTAGGTACCACCGCCCTGCCTATTTCCGCCGTGAAGCAGTAATGCGTTTCGGTTTGAAGGGTGGGGCAGCCGTTGTAACTATACCTTAGAACTTATATCTCAAGGTGTGTGGCGCATTTACGTTGTAGATGTCTATGGGTTCCAGTAACCACTTAACACCAGGTGGGCTGTGAGCTCTTCCACCCATCTAAGTCATAAAAAAAACCGTATATATACTATTTTATTTATTGTTAAAGTATGTAGTCAAGTTGAGAATAGATTAATATTGATTTTCTTTAATATTATGTAGCCTTAGCGAAACAGCCAGACTACCGGGCAACCAGGATTAAGAATTAAAACACTAAGATACTAAAAACGCGAAATAAATTCTTATATTGTGTCGAACTGACAATGAAATAAAAATTGCAATACGTTTTCGTATTTTTCTTTCTCTCACGATTATTTGTGTTTCTCTACGTAGACAGATCAACAAATAGTTGCTCCAAAGTAAATTGAATAAAGATAGTGTATTTGAGTATTAAGCCATCACTACTTTTTTGCCTCTTTATTTTCTATTGTTACTTTATCTTTACTGTATGTTATTTGTTCTGTTTCAATAAGAAATTTTGTTTACCGTCTTTTTCTGAGCGTTTACTTTCCCTGGGTCAACTAACTAAAAATCTTCCTTTGTAAGTATATTTTGACTAAATACAAATATGATAAAATAAATAAAATAAAATAAATAAACTACCTAACATTGAAGGGGCAATATATTCAGCTAACTCATAATATAAATTTTTATTTTCGTTAACATCTAACCTAAAATATAACTAGTCAGGTCATAAGTATTGTCACACAGTAAAAACTTTTCTTTTAGAATGCTGGCCACAAAAAAGTTTATTGAATTCGAATTTCGAATTGTTCATGAAAATAAAAATGTATACTTTTAGAATTTTACTCATTTTTAAATATGGAGTGGACGCTTAAAGAAGACCGTGTTGCAGTTATTGCGTTGCATCGTTGCGGTTACGCGCCAATTCAAATTTTTAACATACTGAAAAATTT